TAATTTTTAACCAGATACAATAATGAAATAGATGATAAATAAGTATATATAATTATAAAATAAATTATCAATAAGTTTTTACTGAATTTGTTTACACGCGGTAGAAACCAGTATTATGAAATAATCAAATACAGAATAAATTATAGGAATATTTGTTCAGCATTTTAATTCACAACATTTTATTCATTGAAATAACTCATCGTTTTATATTATTGTGTTCTAAGATTTTATTTGTTATAATTTTTTACAAAAAATTATATTAGCTTTAAGTTATATTTGAATAAAGTTATAGAAAGAAAAAACTGTTTTTATTTTTCCAGGGCTTTGAAACATGTTGCTAACATAAATTTTTATTCTTTGTTTGAGAAGTTGTGATCGCTTAAAACCTCATAAAACTTTTTAGTTTGATATTGTTCTATTATATTTATATTTCTTGATTTTTTAACAAGTCAGTTAACTTAGGTGTGGTCTTGATTTCGATATCAATAACACAGAACTTAAATAATTTGTCATTTATCTAATTCAAAATATTTCAATTCTATTTTCAGGACTTTCTGCTGGGATCAAAACACAGGACAATATTATTATCCGAATAAATCCAAAATTTCAATTGAATGGCTTCTTGAATAATTCTGTTCTGGAAGAAGACACAGAAAATGAGCATTGTTATGTTTGTGAAAAATGCAACAGAATATTCAAAAGTCGTAATAGGCAATACCAGCACACAAAATATGAATGCGGAATAGAACCGAATAATAAATGTTTTTTTTTTCCATTTGTTTCGACTTACAAATATTGTCTGAAGAGACATGTTGCTAGAAAACACCACGGGCAGATAGTACTGCCCTTTTTGATGGAAATAAAAATTGATTTAATTTGGTACATGAATCACAATAATATAATGGTTTTTCCAGAGTTAATGAGAATTTGTGAATGATATTTTTTTTTATTTAAATATTAAATACATGTTTGTTTAAATACATGTTTTTTTTTTTAAAGTAACATGTCCAACGATACAAGTTAAATGTTTAATTAAAATTGTAATTTATACTTTTTATTTATATTTGTTACATCTTCTATATGAATTTAAAATGCACTAAAAATGAATTTAAATACGTTTTTGTTTTAATATTGCTTGTTTTATATAGTTTGCAGGTAACACCAGTATGTGTTGGAACTCATAATTTTTTTTAGTTTTATATTGTTTTATTGTTTTTTTATTTTTCGATTTTTTAACAAGTCAGTTAACTTAGGCGTGGCCTTAATTTTAAAATAATAACACAGAACTTAAATCATGTCTCATTTATCTAATTCAAAAATATTTCAATTCTATTTTCAGGACCTTCTGCTGGGATCAAAACAGAGGACAATATTATGATCCGAATAAATCCAAAATTTCAATTGAATGGCTTCTCAAATAATTCTGTTCTGGAAGAAGACACAGAAAATGAACATTGTTTTGTTTGTGAAAAATGCAACAGAGTATTCAAAAGTCGTAATAGGCAATACAAGCACACAAAATATGAATGTGGAATAGAACCGAATAATAGATGTTTTTTTTGTCCATTTGTTTCGACTTACAAGCATTGTCTGAAGAGACATGTTGCTAGAAAACACCATGAGCAAATAGTACTGTAAAATGAGGGATATGAAAATTGATTTAATTTGGTACATGAATCATAATAATATAATGATTCTATCAGAGATAATGAGGATTTGTGAATGTAATTTAAATCATTTAAAATATTTTTTTTATTAAATATGTGATTTTTTTGAGTAACATGTCCAACGATACAAGTTAAATGTTTAATTAAAATGTAATTTATACGACACTGTATATAATTTTATTCATATTTGTTATATCTTCTATATTATTTGAAAATGCAATAAAAATTGATGAAAATACGTTGCTATTTTGATTAATTTTGCTTGTTCTAGGTTTGGTCTAGTATATACTGGTAAGCAAGATATGGCAATTTCTGTGAATTTTTTGAAGTAAAACTTCTTTAGGCGCGACTAGGGTGTAAATCTGTGAGAATGCAACGGAAGTCTGTTATTCGCCCCCGAATAGAAATTGGCATAGATAAATAAACATTTTAAGGTTACACCGTAGTACAAACCTTGATTTAATAAAAAATCCTAAATCAGAAGAATATTTTACCTTGTTTTCCGTAAATAATTATAATGGAAACAATGAAATAAATGAAACATTTGTGCCGTGTACTAAACTTAAGTTTATTGAAATAAATTCTATATAATTCATAGCTTCTATAAATCTGTGAAGTTATTAAAATGGAAAATATTTTAGACAAGACAGATTTTATAGTTGCTCAAAGAATGAGATTATATCGCCAGCGAAAAAGTAAAAAAAATACAACTAGTCAATGGATGTATGTTAATTTTAATTACATGAAGTTTGAAACAGAATTATTACATGATGAGTGAAATTGTGAAAACAATATTTCTTTAGGCTTTACATAATCCACTGTGAACAAATATTATATAATTTATTATACAGCAATGACTTCATTTCTGTAATGAAGGTCCAAGTCTTAAATGCTAATTACAATGACGAACCAATTGTCACAAACCGATCAATTCATATTTGAAGTATGACTTTAATTACATTATTGTTTTAAATATTATAAATATTTTTAATGCAATTATAAATATATAATTTATAATTTATTAATATATAAATATGTATGATGGCTGACACTAATAATTGTGTGCATCTCGAGTGTTACCATATTACTAATAAATCAAAATTGTTATTAGACAGATCCACATACTCAAATGTACTAATATATATTACATAGTGAATTTATATATGGAAAATTAATAGGTATCACTGGTGAAATTTATAATCTGTTAATAATATCATAAACTGACTATTAATATAAACGTTAAATAGTATTTACATTGAAAAACAGATTGAATGTCTAATCTTCAAGACAAACACGTTGTCTATCATGACTTGCCTAGACATACTGACTATAGAAACATGATTTTATTTTAATATTTAGTTACTATACTGTTAATTAATTTTAATTATTATTTATCATTGATGTTACTCTTAATATATTTTCTTTGTGCATATAAAAACCTCTTATATAACGTCTTAATTAATGTATTTACTGTGATTTCTTACACAAGACTGATATGAAATCAACTTAAGTAAACATATTCGTGAAGAAATATTACAAAGCATGTTAAATTAAAAATAAAGGTTATATATTTAAAATTTCAAATAATTATCAGCATTATTTCGTATTTACCAAATTATTTGTAAAAATATTTTTAATCGCATCCTCAAGCATGATTATGAACCTAAAACAGAATCGGACGCGTAGATTGTGAGTTTCGTAATTACTTCACCTTAAATTCACCTACTAACATAATAAATTTCCCATTTTCAGATTTCCGCCTGGGTCCATTATTCCCGTCTCCAGCAGCAGCCATGGTCTACAATTTGTCGGCAACTTTCCACGCAACCTCAAATGCTGCAGCAGTAGCCGCCGTTGCCGCCGTCACAAGCGCCGGCAATAACAAACCATTCGCCTGCAGAAGATGCGGCAAAGAGTACGAAAGTCGCAATGGCGTTTATAAACACGAAAAATACGAATGCGGCATGGAAAGGCGGTTTCATTGCCGCTATTGCCCTTATAGTACGCATTATGGGTTTAGTTTGAAGACTCATTTAGCTCGGCAGCATCCGGGCAGCGATGAGTAGAAGGATGATTTTGATAGTTTGCTGCTTTTTAGGGGTCAAAATGTTTCAGAACTTATTTATTTTCTTGGGGCAGTCGTGATTTTAATAATTGAATATCACTTGTAAGATTGCTCTTTTTTAAGAATACTCATGATTTGTTAACGGTACAAAAAACCAAATTAACAAAGATCCAGTGACTTGTGTAACCTGAAAGTAATTGACTCGTGAAAACTTGTAAATATGATTGACTTATGTAATTGGCAATACATAGACTTAGTTTAAAATGAATGGGAGGCGAATGGTTTTTGCTAATTTTATAATTGATATAAAAATCTCTCGTTAATATTATGTATAAGTATTTTTTTTATAGGACATACGTCTACGTATCCCAGACCCAGACAATGTAGATGTTTGGCCTGGGTGTGCCGAGCTAAAATACCGACTACAGGCTTATTCTTTTCTTTTGCACCTTGTCCTCATGCCGCTTGCCGTTATGCATCACTTCATGGGGGGAGGATCTAGAATGCAATGATTATCTTTCTTAACCATACTTTTCTCCAAATTAGTGCTATTTGTTCTCCGTCATGGGGAGAGGATATAGAATGCAATAATCACTCTCTTAACTATACATTGGTTCTCCTTCATGGGGTGAGGATCTAGATTGCAGTGATTTTCTCCCTTAACCATTACCAACATTATTATCATACTATGTTCCTAATTAGTGCTATTCGTTTTTTGTTATGGGGGGAGGATCTAGAATGCTATGATTATCTCTCTTAACTATACTATCCTTCTAATTAGTGCTATAAGTTTTTCGTCATGGGGGGAAGATCTAGAATGCTATCGTTCTCTCTCTTAACTACTTTATCCTCCTAATTTGTGCTATTCGTTTTCTGCCATGGGGGGAGGATATATAATGCTATGAATCCTTCTCTTAACTGTACTATCCTTTTAATTAGTGCTATTTGTTTTTTTCCTGGGGGGAGGATATAGAATGCAATGATCCCTCTCTTAACTATACTATTCTCTTAATGAGCGCTATTCGTTTTTTGTCATGGCGGGAGGATCTAGAATGCTATGATTCTCTCTCTTAACTATACTATACTCTTAATTAGTGCCATTTGTTCTCATTTATGGGGGGAGAATATAGAATGCAATGATAACCTCTCTTAACTATACTATCCTCCCAATTAGTGCTATTTGTTCTCCTTCCTTCTATGTATTGCAAGTATAAATGTATGTGTGTGTACATATGTATAAAATCATCAAGGCAACTTTTTTTATGTAATTCAATCAAATATAAAATCATCATCAACTATTTGATGCAATTGTTTTGAAGATTTTATGCACATTTGTTGACATAAAAAATGAAAGTGATACGATACATACTTATACTTATATATGTGTGTATACGTTAGGGTGGTCCTTAATATGGATGTTCTTGAATGTCCTTGCTCCCAGGGGCTCAAATGCTTTCAAATTGATAAAAAAATTTTCTGAAAGTTTTAGCTTTTAATATTGACTTTAAGATAGTCCGCACTCCAACCAAAGCTTCTTGGTTCTTCTTCCTAAGTATGAGGAGCTTACTTTATGAAATATATAAAAATTTTTATTGTATTTTTTTTATTTATGATCAAAATAAGCAAATACAATATTATTCTCAAAATTTTGATTCACTTGTCGCAAAGTTATGAATGGAATTTACAAATGGAATTTATGCATTTTATTCGATAAGAACTTTTAGTTGAAGTGCGGACTATCATAAAGTTAATATTAAGATCTAAAACATTCAGACAATTCTATTTCATCAATTTGGAAGCATTTGACCTGCTGGGAGCAACAAATTCGAAAACATCCATATTAAGGACCACCCTAATATACATATATAATTATACACTTTTATTTAATATATGTTTAATATATATGAATTTTTGACAATTTTTATGATTTTTATATATATTTTACAATTTAATGAATCAAGAAACTAGTTTTTCATTTAAATAAATAATAACGGGAGCTATCAAATTAAAAAATCTTGTTAATCCTGTTAGAAATGTATGAAGTCAACAACTTTCAGAAAAGATCTTCAGTAAAAGTACAAATTTTTTGTTACAATAGTGGGATTATGAAAAAATATACATTTATGTTTATTGTTCATAATCTCCATATTATTATTAGAAAGTTTTTTCAATATAATTCATTTTTTCTGTAAAAAAATTATAAATTTTTCGAAACGATATGTGCAAATGCACCTTAGTCGCAGCTATATTTTATTTACCTTATAACTAATATTAATCATTCAATATGTATATATTACATAATTATAATAATTATAAATAAATGGAATTCCAAAATTAAATTTAAGATGAGTAGAGAGTCTCGCAATGTTCCTGAACTTATAAATCATATTTAATATTAAAATAGACAAAAATAACTGTCGAGGAAAATTTGTTTTTTTCCTTGATTCATGTACTGAAAATGTATTTTGATACTGTTAGCATTAATGCACATTTGATATCGAATACTGCTTATATATAAAATAAGCTAATTATAAATATGATCTCAAATATAAAACTATTATTGATAAGAAAAGTACATATTTAGAGGATAATAATCAAATTTAAGTCATAAACTTAATATTAAGTCATTATTTCTTATTATTTTTAATCTGTGAATGATGAATATAATTTGAGACTATATCATTGTGATTATATATGTTAGTTTATTTATTAATTAAATGGAATAATTAAAAATTATTTGCAATCGAAAAAAGTGTGTCAAAATTGTGATTTATTTTTCATAATACATTGTAAACTATACATACATTAAAAATGGTTTATTTTCCTTGCAAAATAGTTAGATTTTATTGGAAATTTGCATGATTTTAAAATCATTAAATTTATTAACTTTTTTGAATTATATTGTAGGTCTACTTCAAATGAGCCAAAGGTGGAAACAAAAATATTTCATATAAAATGTTGGTGTCGTAGCTGTAGAAAAAAATTAAAATTTTTAACACAATTTATTTACAAATAAAGTGATTGCAATTTTCCTTTTTATTTGATTCCTAGATATTCACATTATTAACATCTTTATTATTTTTTATGTTTCAGTTTATGGCGAATGGATCGATCCAGTGCAGCTGAAACCAAAAAAATATTTTTGCAAAAATTGCAAGAAACCATACGAGAGCCATAATGGTGTTTACAAACATGAAAGATATGAATGCGGAAGGGAGCCAAATTTTCGTTGCACACTTTGTCCTTTTAAAACTTATTATTTGTTTAATTTAAAAGCACATTATTCAAGAAGACACCAAGATAGCAATTGTAGTTATCCTACCCAGAATAATCAATATTAAATGAATAATGATTATTATTATTCACTTTTCATAGTGGCCAAGTAATATGTGATAAGAAATTTGTAGAGAATTTTGTACTTATTGATTGCTATTATGCTATTAAATTAGGAAAAAAATTCAAGTCAAAATAATAAATGAAATTTATTACAAAATTTTATATGTACAAAAAATAAATTTGAATCTTGCCACCTTCCTTATGAACGAATTATGTATTATTTAATTATAACTATTATGTCAACTTTAATGATCTGACAAAGTTGATTTGACAAAAAAACAGAAAATATTTAGAATAAAAATGCTTTTTTGCTTTTTGTAATATAACACAAATATTTTAGGTGTCATACTAACAAATTATCAAATCATATTTGTTACTAAAATGTAAAAATCTCAAATGAGCTGTAAATTATTATAGATTGAACTAAAATTTGGCTTGTTCAAGTATCATTTAATAATTTATATTTATTTATTGTAAATAGCGTTTTTAGGTTTTAGCAATTATGAAAATTTTATAATAAGAAAAATTGATTTAAAATACATTTCTTTTCTGTAACGCTTTTGTTTGTTATATAAATTGTTCTATGCTCTTTTACAATTTTTAATTTTTTGTCAATTTTATTCAAGATTTTTTGAGGAGTAGAAGTACTGATTGTGGACTAACAAATCCTCCTAGTCTCCTAGTTGCCCTAGTCTCCGATTTGATTTAATTCTAGCCAGCTCGGTATCAAGCAGTATGACGCCAAGTGAAAATATCCTCTCGGAGGCATTGCTACAACACACAATAATTATCAGATATATATATCTAATATAATTGCCAAAAAAGCATAATAGATGGGTTGGCTCTTGTGGGACATTAGTTTATGTCTTCAACAAACTGCTCATAGAATAAGGAGTTCTTAGTAGTTGAGATTGCTGTTGACAAATAAAAAAAAGAAATCTCGATTTTTTGTATATCATTTATTCCATATACTATGTTGTTTCTTATACTACACAATTTTAAGTTTTAAGTTTATATTTACAATCTGATTATCAACAATCTTTTATCAGGTTATTTCCTGGATCCATCTCTATACAGGATGGTATCTAAACCAAGTTCCGGACAAGAAGAAAGAAACCAAATTTATCCTTGTGACACTTGTAACAAAGTCTACCGCAGCAGAACTGGGCGTTATGTACATAAGAAATACGAATGCGGCAAATTGCCGCAATTTAAATGCCATAATTGCAGCTACGAATCGCATCATAAGTGCAATTTGGAGAGACATATGCGGACATGTCTTCTTTACCGTAGTATTTAGTAAAATATTTTTAATAAAAATGATTGAGACTTGAAAAAAATACGATGGAGGAGTGTAGAATATGTTAGATTTTATTTTGTAAGGTACTTAATATGATTTGCTATTAATTGTATGACTGTTATTAAATTTGTTAGTTGATGTTGCAAACGCAATATTTTTTTATTTTCTTCTATTATAGTGTTAAGATTTATTGTTCAACTAAAGACTTCAAGGCGTAACTTTATATAGACTGTATTATGAATTGTTGAAATAAAATATAAGAGAAAGGAACGAGTTTTGTAATTATTCTATTTATATTATAATACATATATGCATTTCAAACAATGGTACATTTTTCAACAATAACCTATTTGATTAATTTGGTATTTGACACTATCACTCATTTCTATAGCCATTGACAAAAAAACTGTGATCTTTAAATATATAGATATATGTATAAGTGTGGATGTGTTTGTGTATATGTGTGAATGTATTTATTTAAATTTATATAGTCTTTACACCTATAAAATACAACGTGTTTCCGATCACCTTCGAATAGGTTGTTGCAACACTGAACGAGGTCGTTGCAACATAAGTTGGTCATAAGTGAGGATTTATTTATATAAGATTTTTAAATGTGAACTAAAAAACAACACTTTTTTAAAAAAAAATACATATTTAATTTAAATTAATCAATTTAAGTAAATTAAATTAAATTTATTTCATTTTACGTTTTGGGGATATGAATTGTCTACTTTTTTAGGAACTTAATGACTAAATATTTTCTAATTAAAACAATCAACATCAAAACAAACTACACACTGTTTGGAAACGTCTTCACTCTTTTCAATATTTTTTGATATTTTTGTTTGAATAATACATTAGGTTTATTTATAGGTTTCAATTAATGTATTAATGTATGTATGAATTGAATCAATTAATTAATTACAGATTAAACATTAATTATAAACATTTATTTAAATAATAAAAAGTTTTTTCGAAAAATCTCAACTTTTTCAATTAGCTCCATACGTGTTATACAATATATACCATTTAAAAGGCAGTTAGTGCAAATATATGGAGATTCATTTCACAGTTTTTTAAGCTTTCTAGATTTGATTCGTTTTTATCCCTTGCAATTCATTAAAAGCGTTTACGTTCATCTAGTCTAGATTTCTCTAACTCATAAATCTTTTACTAACCAAACCAATATTTTATGTTTCAGATTTATCCTCGGCCGGAGAATTGAAATTATCTTGCCGCTACTGTGGGAAACTCTATAGGACAAAGAGCAGCCACTACGCCCACGAGCGAATGGAATGCGGACGAGAGCCTAAATATAAATGCGATATTTGTTCTTACAAAACTCACAGAGGATTCAATTTGCAACGACATGTCACTAAACATTTTCGGCAGTACAATGCTTGGCCGACACAACTTTAATTTCATAACTATAGTACCATAGATTTATTGTAACATACAGCTTGGCACGCACCGATTTTCTTTTCGACAATTGATTTAATTTTTTTTTGAAGAAATAGTATTTGACGCACCTGGTAAGGCATTAGGCTAGTTGTTTCCAACCTTTTCGCACAGCGCCTCCTACTACAAATATTATGTTATGCATAAAAAATTCAGAACTAATTATTTTTTTTAAATTTTTTTAAAACCTTTCAGAAATTTTGTTTTATTTTCGGAAATAGTATTCTAGAAACAGATCTACGCGCTCCCCTTAGAGCGTCTTCTTGTGAGGGAGCGCCCCACAGGTTGGAAACCGCTGCCTTAAGCAATATCAGGGCTTGTGGATTTGAAATTTTATTTTTATCTCATGTGATTATGATGTTGATATATATGATAATCACACATTTTGTTTTTCTTAACACGCTAGAAAAGTCACCGAAATCATATAAGAATAAAAAATTATGTATTCTATTTATATTTTTATAAACATTTTGTAATTTATTTATATTTTTATGATACAGAACATTCAGAATTTTTGGCATACTTTAGTCAAAAAAGAAAAGGTCTGTGTGTGTATATGTGTAATATGTTTGAATAGACGATTGTATTTAAAAGATTCTAAAATATATAAAAAGAACAATCAATTTGAATTGGCAATAGTGAAGTCCGGTAAATTTCAAAAAGGGGTAAACTGTTATAATTTTTAAGATTCAGACAATGCCGTTATGTTGATTTGCAGTAAAATGATTATCTAAATTATTCGAACATAACAGAAAAATCCATAAATTTTCTTTAACGAATAATACCATACACTACTGGTTTTTATTTATATTTTTTTAGATTTTTTATATATTTCTTCTAAATATAATCTTATTATTTCTTATTATTTCTTCTATAATATATGGAATCTAGACTTATTGACTTTTGAAATGAGAACGAATCTAGTGGTTCATGGTTTTGTGCTTTTATGAAAATTACTGGAACTTCCTGTACAGTGATTACAGTTTTGCGAAATAAATCAATAAAAACTCATCAGTGAGTAATAAAAATTGTTGTAAATATTTTAAAATAATTATAAATGCTGTAAATTTTATCGTAGTATTTTTTAAATTTAATATAATATAATCGCTTATATTTATCTATGTTTACATATAAAAACATAATAAACAAACACTGTCAACACAAGCAATATTGTTTTGAATCACTCTATCGGATGCGCCGTTCTGTCAAGAAATGCTTTTTTTTGCACTTTTGCTCCGTATCTCCGTTACCGCTGTACCTGCCAAAAATTTAGTCAATTATTCACTCAATAAATACGAATCGAATATTTTTTGAATTATTCAAATCGGTTGATCCGTGTTCCCGATATCGTGGACGAAAAATTGTATACACACATACATCAATTTTTCTTAAGGTATGCCAAAATGTTCTGAAATCTCTAAAAGATATGCAAAACTTTTTTCATTTGCGATTTTTATAACTTATCCTACGGGAAGTTAATAATTTATGTGTCAGTTATTAATAAATTTTTCTTTTAATTAATAAGATTATAATATATACAGTTTTATTACTAAATAGTATTTTACGTGATGAAAACAAAATTATGTATAATATATAAGAAACAAAAATGCAACTCTCTCTTGTATATATATAGGTAACTCTATTTCTTTATTACTTGTTTTAAATTGTACAAAAAGAAAATATTTCAAACAATTTATAAATATTTTAAACAATTAGACTAGTCAAGCATTAAAAAAAAAATTGTATATTTATATAAGAAAGCACTGATATTATTTTTCATATTAAGTTGTATATACTGTTGCTTCAATTCATTTAAAATTTTAAATAAAGGCATGTAGTTGGCTGGCATTTTGTATATAAAGTAATATAAAGAGAAAATCTATGTAACGTATTTATATGATTTTACGTTTTATTTCAAGATAATCGCTAAGTATGATAATCTATATTGTATTTGTTGCATTTGTATAGAATTTTAAGACCGTACAAATAAAGGATTTGCAGGGAAAGCAACTAAAAAACTGTGTTATGTATATTGCAATAAAATATGATATATATCAATATCACTTCATTTTTTTCAAATTTAGTTTTTCAAGATAATTGGAATATTAACATTTTCTGTTTATATTTTCAGATACAATTTATGAAATTCCGGATAGATCGTATACTGAAATTGTGACTATGTCTGGAGGACTTTTTTGCGGCCTGTGTGGAAAAGCTTTCGGAAAACCTCGAAGTTTATATGCCCATGAGAGATTTGAATGTGGCCAATTACCCAAACATTGTTGCAAATTCTGTGGTTACCGGACTCATAGAATTTCTAATATTAAAAGGCACATTGAAAGACATCATTCTAAGAATAACAACAAAAAATAATTATAATTATTCATACTTTTTTATTTTATCGTTACATGATATGGAACCACGAAAGCAACTTCCATCAAAATTTAAGTAGAATGCTATTTGATTTGTCTTTTTTAAAAAAATGTTTTTTTATATTTTTTCCAGAAGCAGAATTTCTATAGTTTCAAACGCAATTTTTATATGCATTGGATTTGGAAAAAAATATTTTGTTTGTTTTTTGTAATTGAAACCATTATTAAGTTATATACAGTACAGTAGGCATCAACTACATTCATTTGCAATGCCATCAAATCTTGGAATTATTCTAAAACTATTGAAGTTTTAAATTTTATAAAATTGTTACTGTGATTATTAAATTTTTTATATCATCAAAATTGTATTTATCTAACAACATTTTTTGTTGCTCTAATAATGCTGTTGGTGAATTTATTAGAATAAATAAAAAATCATTGCTGAATTATAGTTTTGTTCAGATGTAATTATGTTCTCAGTTAGGGGGCGTCCATTAATCACGTGAGATTTACCTAATTCAGAAAAATACCTAAACATTTCCAAAAAAAATGAAATTTTTTTTTCATAACTGTAAATGCACGTGATGTTTGGGGATGGAGGTGATTTTGAATATCACCACGTATCACCAAGGGGGGGGGGGGTTTCCAAAATTCTTAAAAAAAATGGATGACGTGATTAAAGAACGCTTCCTTATAGTATTTTACTTTCCAAACTATTTTATTCTTACATTAACATTTTATATTTTTATTTACAGATAAGAATATCGTATTCGGACCATGGCTGCCAAAGTTGACAAAAATTCCGACTGTAAAGAATATGGCTTTCTTGCAACCTATAGCAATTGAAAAACCTTACCATTGCGAAAGGTTTGCATTTTGAATTTAAACTATATGATTTAATTAACTTATGGAAAATGAAAGAGTATGTGCTCAGAATACACGCTAAGATATCTGGAATAGCTAAATTTATTTTCTCACAGATTATTAGATTTCCATGCTACTCCTTTTATTGCCTTCTAGTAAAATTGATGAGTATGGCAGTGTAATATAGAGTCTTGGAGATTATTACTTTTTTATATCTTAGAGTCTACATGTTGTCTAGTGTTTTTGAGTACATATTCCGAATCATCTACACTAGTGATTTGGATTTCTTTAAAAATTTCACAACACATTCCATTTATTGTTTTCAGATGCAACAGACGATACGTCCACGAATTAAGTTTGGAACACCACAAGCAATTTGAATGCCAAGAATTAATCAAATTCATATACACTTGTGTCAAATGCGGTTTTATTGCCAATAAAGAAGATTTTCTATTAGATCATATGCGAAAACAACATCACATCAATGAATCGCAAATGGATAAACTTCGTTCTGCTTTACCAAAACCATAGTAATCATATTATCTGCCATAATTGTATAAGTTTTTGTAAATAGTCAAGGATAAATTTTGTTTCTTCGATGATAAAGAATTGTATATAGTTTTTATTTGAATTTTAAAATAATTGGTGAAAATGAAATTTTGTGTATGAATTTATAATAATAAGTTATATTTTTTTTATCTACTGTCTTCATATTCAATCTCTCACAGTTGTAGAATTAGTCATGTTTAATAAAAAAAATAAAGATCTTAAACATATTATTTAAATTTTACTCAATACTGCAACCTTAATTATTCACTTTCCAGGAGCATCTTTGAAACCATTACCTTAAGGATTTCACTAACTATATTATTTTTCCATTTGCAGGAATTTATAAGGCTGTTTCTACTTCAGAACAATCTACAGAAAAAATAACAGAGCATACGGACACTGACAGCATTAATATTTTATCCCAAGGAAATAATTCTGAAACAGAATATTTATATTGCGGTTGGTGTCCATATGCCACAAGAATGAGCAACAGTTTGCGACTGCACTGGCAAAGGAAACACAATTTTTATAGTTGAATAAAATATGTTTATTGATGTAATAAATGTTCATAAAATAGAAATTGTATTTTAATATTTATTTAATGGAATACTATAGATCAATTTTATTGTAGGTATATATTTAAAATTACGTCTATATTGATGTAGAATAATAACTGATGATTTCTAGAATAATATTTCGAAATATCGATTATTTCGAAGGCAGGTTTATGATGTGAGAGCACCACAAACTCAATAGAACTGTTTTCCTCCCTTGCCTGTTATTACTATTAGTATTTTATTTCCAAATGTAGGTATAACATTGTATTTCAGTTGTCAATTTGAAGGTGAGATCAGCACATTTTATTCTAAATATTTTAAATATGTTTTTCTCTGTTTCAGATACCATAAGGTGACTAATGGGCCGATTCTGTCGCATAACAATCTAATATTATGGCAAAGCCATGTTAAGCTTCAACTTCCATACATTATGCCACTGAATCATACTGAATACTGTCAAAATTTCATGTATTTGCTGTTCATTCAGGCGTTTTACACTACAACGTCACTCGTATGTTATGAATCTGAGTTAGAAATACCCTGTTATCTAAGATCGTTTTTTTGACATTTGTGCGGTTTCTAGGTTAGGTTTTCTATCTGATAACCTGAGAAAAACGTTTGGCTGTACAACAACCACATGGCTTTTGTCAATATTTAGTATGGAAAGTTTTTCACAACATAGCCTTGCCATAACATTTGTCTGTTATGGGACAGAATCGGTCCATAAATCATGACATGGGATTTCGTGAAATGATAATGACGTACGGATTGTCATATTTCATAATAAGTAGTTGGTTTCCAATGTCGTCGCGTTTATTTTTTTACATAGACTATTTTTGGAGTAGTTTTGTTACTTAGATACAGTAAACTAGAATCCTTTCATTCTCATTTAGTTATTTTTATTAATATTTTTTGTCTATTTAATTACTTGCAGATCCTATTCGATTAGCGATGAGTATGAAGATGCCCCGTCGACAACGGACAGCCTATAACAGTCTCCAAATAATGCAGCTCGAGAAAGAGTTTAAAGTAAATCATTATCTAGATAGACAGCGAAGAGAAGATTTGGCGAAAAGTATAGGTCTTGTCGAACGACAAGTCGAAGTTTGGTTCCAAAATCGTAGAATGAAAGAAAAGAAGCGGCACAGAGATTCAACTGGCCCACCATCACATGCAGACTCCGACAGTGCACCATCTCCAGCATCTTCTTCCAGATCAGATCCGAGTCCTGGTCCTCCTGGTATCACCTCCAGGGTCAATTATGCAGAGCAGCATAGTCTGATGGTGAACGCCCTGGCGTCTGCCATGTATGCAGCTAAACGTCCAGAAGTTATCCCAAATTTGGCAGCTCAGCAAAAGCAGCTGACGCAGCAGCTAAAACATATATATAGCCAAGGCGGCGCTGGTTTTTATAGACAGATCGATGATCTGGACCAGGATGAATCGAATAAGAGATCAGATGAGGGAAAAGATGCAACGCAGAATGCGCAGGATAAAATGCCCTGGAATACCAGGTTTCCTGATTTGTAATTTATATAGTAGTACTAAGTTTTCAATAGTATTTGTTTGACTAACGTTAAAAGTTTGATTTTGTATTATTAGTCATAAATTAATGGTTAGTGTATATTTTATGAAATAGAAAATTATTTATAAGTTTTTATGAAATAACGAGTGATAATTTATTTGAAACTTTTAAAAAACCAAAGTATTTTATTACTTTACTTTCTATTGTTTAACCCCTTGAAACATCATGTATTATTTTTAATGTCATTTATTGTAAGATTTGAATAAATCAGTATTAGAACTTAAACTACATCAAATGTTTTAGGGTTAATTGGACATAATTTCGAATATTTATTGTCATTTCCATCGACTGTATTTAACCTTTTTGCTACGAGCGTGATCTATAGACGACATCAGTATGACGACCTACAGACGATATTCATCTGATGTCCAGTCGACCTTTGCTTCAAAATTTTTAAGAATTCTAATTTATTGTAATTTTTAGTTCTTCAGAAGTGTAATTTTTAATTGATAAAGATATTTTTATTGATAATTATTAAAAAATCTTAAAATATGTTTTTATGTCTGGTATATCCAGTTTAGCTCCTTGGCGGCTTGCTGTTCCGTACAGCAGTGTCACTCCTGCGAAAAACACTGTCGTAGCAAAATGGTTAAATGATATATTTCTTTATTTTTATATTAATTAATGAAATAATTATGAATTTTTGATATACTCATTCAAGTATTATTAGATAATATTTATTGTATTTTTAAATTGCATTCTTAGACAGATAAAGTCATCTGTGTATGAATATAAATTTAAATTAATAATGTAATTTATATCTCTCCGAGAAATCTTAGTATTATCATTATTCTTGCCGAGATTGTGAAAGTAGTGCTTATCGTGCTTAAATTCAATACAAATTTTATGAAATTATTGAATTGAATTTAATTTATTCTCTTTAACAAAATAGTTTTAGCAACAATAATGTAAGCCTTTTCTTATTCAGATATCTTATTATCCTTGGCTTTAATACTTGCTGCAATCATATCTGAATCTATTAGAATGTAAATATTAAAATATCTGTAAATGATGTGAAAATGTATTTTTAAGTAAATATAACTATAAAGAATATAATTAAAAACAACATTTTTTTAATACTTTTACTTTTTCTCTAGTTGTTAAGGTTATGAATAATACTCCGAATTTCAATATGTTTATTTGTACTTGTTTCAAGATATTGGACAAAATATGTTACCTTAAGAATATTTTATACACCATATTAACACCATTATTATTTTTGTTTCTTTTTAGGTGTCTTAAAAGCCAAGATTTTCTCCACCATCGAAGGATTCCAAATGTTCTCAGGACAACATGGTAACCTTCACCTCATTCGAGATGGCTACATGTACTCAAGACATATGAACTATAAAGACAAGGTGTATTGGCGATGCAGACAATATGTAAATGGATGCAAAGTTCGTCTTACGACTTGTGGAAATAAATTGCAAAGTGTCAGTGCATCTCACCAGCATCCACCTGAAGGTTCCTTTTCCAAAGATGACTTGAATTTGACCAGATCCGCTGATAATAATAGTCAAGATGCTGCTAGTATTTTGGCTTTGCAATATAAGTGGGCCTCTGAAGCAAGACTGAATACTCAGAATTTTCATTAAAAAGAAAATGCAAGACATAATGTTGACTTCAAAATTGATGGTTTGGTGACCTCTAAATCAAGACTCAATCATGAAATCTGGTCATGTCCTGGTCAATTAGATACCAAGCCTCCATTTTTATGAAAAAATATTTCTTTACGTCTTTTGTATCTATTAACGTCTAAGCGTCTAAAAAATTTTATTATAATTTTTTTTTAATTCGTTTATGCTTATTTTACGAAAATCAATCTATCAATTTGAACCAATTTTAAAGTATTAATTTATAAGATATTGACTATTATGATATTAATGATAAAATTTTAATGCATTTGGTCTGCATGCAGGTACAGTGCAGTATTTTAGAAATTTGTTAAGCAGATTTGTGGTAATATGAGAAATACTCACCTATATTCTATTTCTATACTTGATCAACCTCATTATTTTAAAATAAATATTGCTGAAGTATATGATTTATTGTGAGCATGAATTTTTCCTAACATTTTTAGTTAAGAAAGTTCATTAGCAACAGCAACACGAAACATCTTGTCTTAATCATATTGTAAAAATATTTTAATAATTGATATTACTAATATATAAAATCACATGAGTTGAATGAATACATTATATATAATTATATGTGAAATATTATATCACTTTCAAGATCTACGTACATTTTTATTTTTATGAAAATGTGATATACTTGTAATAAACTGTAAATTAAGCTGACAATTTTAGAATAATTTTTGTTTTAATACATTCTAGTTTTATAGTTCTTTTAATCGATCTAATTTGATTAATTGGATAGAAATGTATACTTTTTTTAAAATACTGAATATATGTTACCTTTTGGATATAATAAGATTATGTAAATGATATTACTAGCATTAGGGTATATAATTTTATGTGAGATCACATTTGTTAAATTTAAGGAATAATTCGCGTCGTATACGTACTAACTGTAAGTTTTACCAATAATTAATTTTAGTCATATTTATATTATGTTTGTAAATACTAAGCAGGAAATATAAATGATATTTATAAACAATGTTTATAACTAATACTCAGTCACACAATTTTTTAAATAACTACACTTAATCAATAATTTCTAATACATTTTCTATCTTTCAGGAAATGTTAACTACATGTATTCTCGTCCAGAGATCAAGCCAAGTCCAATTCAGTATGCTAGAAGTCCTAGAGGAAGACAACTGGTTTTATACAATGAATACACTTTCCATAAACGACAAACACATAAGTCCAATACTTATTGGATTTGCAGCAAATATAATACTTTAAAATGTTTGGTTCATGTTAAAACTTGCGGTGAATTTGTTATGAATATCACTGGAAGTCATAACCATCCTCCGCCGAAATGTAATTCAGATTATATACTTTGTTTTGATAGGGCCTGAATTTGGCCATAAATATTGGGTTAGCCAATAAATAGGCTAATTTGAAGATGGAGATTATGTGTCATATTACTTGCGAATAAAAATTATAGTGTTAAAATAGAATGTAAGTAGACTGCTCAGAGCTAATTCTCAGAGTTCAGTTTTATGGGTTGACTCTAAGTCGAAATTATTCGAATGCGGTAAAAGTTTAGTGAAACTTGTTTAAATATTTAGTTGAAATTTCTGCTATATTATTGAAAACATTAAAAATACAATTACACGTCATATTCCAGTTGTTGAAGTTTTTTTTAACAATAGTTCTTCATATTGAAGTGTTTGAGTTTATTGCTTGTGCATGCTACTAATTACATACCACAAGAAAGTACTATTTAATTTTACAGTATATGAAATATTTAGAAATTAATGTCTTGGGTTAATAGAAAATTATAATTATGTAAATAAATAAATGTTTAAGTACGCTGTATGGCAGAAAGTGCTAATAAATTTTTGAAGGTATTGAGATATATGCTCTTTCCATGTATATCAATATTATTCTTGAATAAAAATATTTTAATGATATATTATGTATTTTAAAATTGTCGATATATATATAAATATAAAATTTTAATTTGTAGTTTGTCATATGTTTTTGCTTACAAATTATTTGTCATTCCGTCTAGGTTTGTAATTGAATTATAGGGTAGAAAATTATTTTATTGATGTCAGGTAGAGAAGATAGACGTATGAAACTTGTGAGGCTCGAACATGCCGCCGCGTTTGAAAAAATAATGGAAAATTAATTTACATGATTTTTCAACAAATGGTCTTAATTTTGTTATAAAATAAATGTTTCCTTACTGTTTTAAATTTTTTTTTCATTTCTGAAAATGAAAATTTAGCTTTGATAACATCATATTTAATAACCTTTATTAATGTTACTATGTATATTTATTGTTCCTCAAGTGGAACCAGAAATCGAAAATAAAAACTTTTACACATAAGTTATATGATTAAAATTTTATATATTTGGCATCTAGGACGCAGTAACTGTAAATAAAAATAAACAGTAAAATTCTTCTGATATGCAAACATTGAAAAAATTGAAAAAAGATTTCAAATTGTATATACATTATAGTTATATTTTAATAATCACGCTGTACTATATGTGCTCCTATAACTGTAAATGAAATAAATTTAAAAAATACTTGTAAATATATGCTATTGTGGTAAAAAAAATGTTTCAAGATAAATAATATAACTCTGTAAAATATAAATCTTGATATATATTTTTTCTTAAAGACGTAAACTAATACATTTTATATTTTTCAGCAGATCTCCAACAAATGATGTTTTTGCATCCAGAGACAATCCTTCTAAGTCCAATACAATATGCAGAGAGCATAAGAGGTGGCCTGGTGATCCTTTACAACGATTATACATTCCGAAAAAGACAAATACACAAATCTAATACTTATTGGATTTGTAGCAAATACCATTCCTTAAAATGTTTAGTTCATGTCAAAACTCGTGGCAATTTTGTTGTAAATAGTACAGGACAACATAATCATCCACCTCCGAAATTTAATTCGGATTACAAAATTTGGGACAATCCGGCATACGAATTTAAATATAAATTTTAGATGGGAAATTGATTATTGGATTATTTTTGGAATTATTTAATTTCATTGCTTTTGCGCTGTTCAAATATATACATTTGATATACGTGGGGGAATGTGTCTAAATATTATAGTGAATAAAATTTAATATAAGGTATATATAAAATTATATATATATATATATATATATATATATATATAAATTCAACATTATGAATATTAGAAATTTATTATTACTTTTTATTATACCAAGTATTTATATACCAGTTTTTTTAGTATACAGAATTATATCTGCACTTTGTATGAAGTTTATCCAAGAAAAATTAAAACCAATGCATTTTTTTCACCTGAATTTGATTCAGGGATTTACTCAATAATATATTATACTCATTCTTCCCATATTCCATTAATAGAATAATTTATTAGTGTTTTTTTAGTGGAAATTAATTTGTTTTAAGTTATTCTAGGCTATAAAATATTGCTGTTGGTAAACACGAATACAATAATGAGAAGTTTGAAGTGTTTTAATCTTTAGTGTAAGGATTATGTATACCAGAATTCTAGTGATGAATCGATATAAGTGTTACAACTAAATTGTCTACGTAATCTCTATATTTTTGTATAGTGGTGATAACATGATAGCAGTAATAATAATAATGGGTAGCAGTACTACCCATTATCATTATATGACCAACTAATATCAAAATTGGACATTCTTGATACCAAAGAACTTGCCATATGGAATGGCAAAAATAATTTTGTATAAATTTTGTATTGAGAAATTTTAGATGGACCACTTCTAGGAAGGTCTTCACAAAAATCAGTAGGCAATTATTATTATAATATACATATATATGCAATAAATAGTGGAAGTCTTAATTGATTTTACCAATATGTAAAACATTATTCTAAATTCTACTCTTTTTTCTAAAATTTAATTTACCAATTTACATTTGATTTTTTTATTTATTTTAATTAAGGATTTTTTCTCACAACTCAAATTTATTATTTATTTTTTTCAGTGTTCAATCCGAATCTTCAAAACAACATCTCCCTAGGACCATTTCAATATGCAAGAACCACAAACGGTGGAAGAGTGATTCTTTACAATAATTACACATTTCGTAGAAAAAAAGTTCATAAGTGTAGTAGCTATTGGATTTGTACTAAAAATAAGTCTTTAAAATGTTCTGTTCAAGTGACAACTTGTGGAAATTTTGTTACAAAAGTCACGAGAAATCACGCACATCCGCCACCAAAATTAGATGTAGATTTTAGGTTTTCAAATGATGATTTTGTGATAAACTATAATTGGAATTAGATTAAATTAATTAGAATTATTTTTTTGAAATTAATGTTAAATGTGATAATTGTTAAAACAATTGTTAAAACAATTTTTGGAAATTTATTATTTTATTATTTTTTTGGTCTGGTAAAATATAAAAGCTATAAAAGTCGAATAATAAATGATAATTATCTGCCTTAAAAGTTGTATGAAAATTACTTATAACCAAGAAAATGTGTTTCATATGCTATTGTATTTTATAAAATTAGCCAGTAATGGATTTAATATTACTTAACATTTAACTTCATATAAAATTATAAAATTAAATACCATATTTTGGAGTTAATTAAAAACTGGTGTTAAAGTTGCTAGTTTAACTTAGTTGTGTCGATAAAAAAATCACTTATTAATAGTGACAGTGAATATAATGAATATATTTCTTGTTTAAAATTTTCTAAGGTTTTATATTTTTCTGCCCTTAGATTTCTACTATCAAATGTATGGACACCTGGAAAACAGGAACATCCCAGTAAAATTTATAACTGATTGGAAAGGCGTACGACGATTGATTCGATATAATAATAATTCATTTTACAAAATGCGTGCTTATGGTTGTCACAGTTATTGGTACTGTACTCAACATTCTATCACCAAATGTTTGGCACATTTAAAAACTCGTGATGGGTTCATAGTAAACGAATCTGGATGCCATAACCATCCATCGACAGAAATGAAACCTGGTTATCGATATGTGAATTAGGAGGATATAGAAGATTTTATATAAACTAAATATTGCTTCTGTCACACTGCAGAAATAACAAAATACAACAATAATTGAAAAATAAATGCAAGATTATCACCATCTTCACCATAATCTAAGGTTTACTATTGCCTGATGTTAATGTCCAAAGTGAAGAGAGAGATTTTATCTCGTTGGTGAGTGTACTAGTAATACATACTTTACTAAAAAAATCTGCAAATGAAATCAATTAGATGTGATCTATTACCAGAAATGTTCATCCAAAAATATAAGACGTTACCTATTCAAGGATGTTGGCTGGAGTAAAATCAGGCTGGTGTTCTGTGGACGAAAACTGTTAAATTGCAAGTAGTTTCAAGAAAGGAAAATGTTAATTTTATGTTCTATTTGTACTCTTTCTATCTCAAATAAACATTTGTATTCTAATAATTTTATTTGTTTGGGCCATGTATTCCAATTACATGAATTGGGGAGCTAGGGGCTTAGGGGCTTGTTGTAACAGTTTTTGCGTTCAGTCGATAAAAGCAAATATGATGCTTTTAATTGTGATAGTGATAGTGAGTGTAAGGAATATGATATGATACTTGATTTATGTGGAAAGGGTAATTAATTCATTATGCATATACTCTGGTAGTATCAGTAGTATAAAAATTTTTTAGTCGGCTTTTTCTAAAATTTTAAATTTTTATGCCCTTAGATTTCTACTATCCCCAGTATGGACATTTGGAGAACAGGAACACGCCAGTAACATATATAACTGATTGGAAAGGCATACGGCGAATGATTCGATATAATAACAACACATTTTACAAAATGCGTGCTTATGGTTATCATGTTTATTGGAACTGTACACAACATTCTATCACAAAGTGTTCGGCACGTTTGAAAACTCGCGATGGGATCATAGTAAACGTATCTGGAGACCATAATCATCCATCTATTGAAATGAAACCTGGTTATCGATATGTGAATTAGGAGAATATGGATGTATATATTTTTTAATAAATGATTTCAACAATATTTACAACTTCTTGGTCATTAATGTAAATCATTATCTTATATATAAAAATGGAGTTCGATAAAATGTTAGTTATGCTAAGGCTCTAAAATGGCTGAACCGATTTGGCCAGTTTTAGTTTTGAAATATTTGTGCTAATCTAGAGATTGTGCAAAAAATGAAAAATTACTTCTAAACCGCGAAAAAACTTTACATTTTTAATTTGAAATATTTTTGAAGCTTAATTTAAAAAGAAACAATGGCGCCGGCTCATACGTCAAATGTCAAATGGTTTTGATAGATTAATAGAATGAATTAAATGAAAATTATTAAATTCTACTATGTAGTTTTATTTGTAGTTATAAAACATCATTAAACTAGTCTCTTCAATAAAAATTTGTGGTCTGATGCTTATGGTGGTTGTTTTTGAAAGTATTCAAAATATTGACTTGACCACTTTGGTTTAATCTTGCAAAAACATACTTTAAACAAAAACTCATACTTTAGATAAAATTAATTACCAGAAGTATTCAGTTTAGGATCGATAACTTTAGATATCATTTTTGAAGAATGTTGGCCTGGAAAAATTTACGCTAACGGTTTTGTGGACCCTTCGTCCCTTCCTTTCGACCCTTCGACCTTTTGTCCTGCCAGTTTGTTTCAAGAAAGGAAAATGCTGATATTAGACATTTTGCTACATTTGTACTTTGTTGAATAAAATTTTGTGAGCTCATAATTTTTTTTGGCATGTATTCCGATTGTATGTATACACGAGTGGATCTCTAGAACCTTAATAACATGTCAATTTTATCTTTTTGCAGCTGTGCAGAGGACTCCAAATTGTGCTAAATATTATAACGTCGATTATCGTCCTGTGCAATATGTTACAAGCTGCAAACGTGGACGACTGATTCTATATAATTCTTATATATTCAGAAAGCAAAGGACAGGTTCTAAGACTCTTTGGTATTGCAGCAAATATGATGCTATTAATTGCCCAGTTGGTCTAAAAACTCAAGGAGATTATGTTGTACAACTTTCTGAACATCAAATTCATATACATTCACCGCCGATATGCAATAGAGACTATTATCTTGAGTAAATGCTAAATGGAATGGTTTCGATTATCAATTTTTCTGCTTCTGCTGAAATACTTATTTCTAGGGTCTTTATTTTTTTAGTAATTAACCAACTTTTAAAGAACGCACTGATATAAATATATAAATAAATGAATATCAACGAACAATCCATACTGAATTATTTCCATGAAATTTACAGCATTTTTTGGGATTCAGGTCAGCAGGATATAAAATCAAATTGTTTAAAAAGTTAAAAACTTAATTGATGGAAAGGATATATATGCAGGCAGAAGTATCTGCACATAAAGTAAAAAAGATTTAAAAAAAAAGATTTGAAAGTGATATTTTAACCCTTCCCACTCGGATGCCACCGCTCCGGCGGCAAAATTCACATAAATCTCGGAATTCGCGAGTGGAAAGGGTTAAATGATTTTGAAGAGTGTATTATATAGATTTATTTTTTCCTTCTCTAGTTGCAGTATAGGTATCAATCTCAATGTGACTATTGAACTATTATTTAAATTAAAAAGTAAAAGTAAAAATGTAAAAAAAAACATTAAAAATATTAGAATAACATTTTGTTGTAAATATATATGCAGAATTTTAATTTCGAAGATAATCTTAGATGTTAATATGTCATATATGTGTATGAAAAAATATCGTTTCATTCCAAACATAGATTGATAGTTGTCATTTTGATAGGAATAAATGCTTAAATATTTTTTTATTTGATTATACTATTTCAACTAAGTTGGATTATCTTATTTTTTTTCACTAGAAAGAATTACCATTAGGTAATCTTTCTAAATAAACCATATATTATAACATACCAATTACTAAATGTCTTCACTAAGACAGATTGTAATTTGAATGGTAAATAAAAAAAAATCTTGTTTTTTCATTCCGATATTACAATTAATTATAAACAATAGTACAAGCTTAACACGATTTTGAACTTCAATTTTATTTGAAAATATATCTTATCTTATTTTGTATACAACTGCAATTATTATAATAAAATTAAAAACAAAATTACTTTGTATCTTTCTTAATTTTAGACGATAATTATTATTATTTTAATAATTTTTATTTGCTCATTTCAGATGTTGATTGCAGATCGCAGTTCTATGATAGAAATGAAATGGCGTTTAGGATTATTGGAGTTTTAGCAAAAATAAGAAAAATAATATACTTAATAATCTCAAAACTTTGTTGCAAAGTCATAGACCTTATACTGCATAAAGATAGAAGGGACTGTGACGTCACTCAGTGAACGAGCGTAGCCGACAATCGTGAAATACTCCTGTGAAAATATCATATGCCATATGTTTTCTTTCAATAAAAGCAATTATGAATATCATTTTTAACAAATTTCTCAATTTTCTAACAATTGTTATCTATTATTAAAATAAAACTTATGACATATGGCATTTAATCAATCGGGGGAGTTCCACAATTGTCGGCAACGGTCGTTCTGCAAGTGACGTCACAGTCCCTTCTATCTTTGTACAATTTATATAATGAAAAACATATGAGGATTAGCGGTCCAAGTAGTATAAGGTCTATGTGTAAAGTACTCTGGCATTAGCGAAAAAAATGTTGAAAAATATGTTTAACAAACAATTGAACAAATATGTAGATTATTTGGACCTACTCAGAATGTGTGACCGCTCTCTTGTTAAAACTAAAGATTTATAATGAACTATTTTGAATACTGACTCAAGAATTTTAATTTCCGAAAAAAACAACGTTGCCTCCGTCAACAAATCTGAAAAATATTTACATTTTCACTAACAAAACTATTTTTTATTTCCAGGTTCCTACATGGCATACTCGAATTACCAAAGACATCGTGAGAATGAACAAAGTCCAATAAAATATGTTTCGAGTTGGCGAGGTGGAAAACTGATTCTCTACAAAAATTATACGTTCCACAAAAAGCAAACCCATGGATATAACACTTATTGGAATTGCAGTAAATATACGAATCTCAAATGTTTGGTCAATCTGAAAACACGTGGTGATATGGTAGTAAATGTTGCTGGAACTCATATTCATCCTCCACCAGTATTAAATGAGGATTATAGGGTTTATGACTCTAATATGAGTTAAAGTAAACTAGTGGTGTGTATGGCATCGTGCCTTAAGGGAAATTGCTAAAACTTCCCGTACCGTAACGAAATGTTCGAGGAATATTGAATGTTTTCAAATAGATTATTATAAATATTGTAACATTGTCTAATATTTATAAGAATTATATAAACTGAATTGCAATGTTGAAATTATTTATTTAAAGTATTTTAAAACTTTAGCCTGAATTAAAAATATATTCTGAATTATTTTCGATATACAAAAAAAATTTTTTTTTTGAAAAAAAATAATCGAATTTTTTTTAATAACAAGCAGAAAGTTCTTTGAATTATTTTAATCGGACGCTTTGTTATCTCAAAAACTGCCATTTTTTTACATTTAGCTCTATATCTTCGAAATGGCTGGGCCTGCCTTCGTCAAAAACTAATAACCACTTCTCCCAATCATTACTAATTGAATGTTTTTAGATCATTCAAATCGGATGCTCCGTTCTCTCAAAAACTCGATTTCTATTTTCTGCGCTCTTTGTTCTTTATCTCCGTAACTACTGCTCAGCACATCTTCCTGTCAATAGGAATCGATTTTTTTTTAACCATTCAAATCGGTTGATCCGTGCGCCCGAAAACGTAGACGAAAAGTTGTATCCATACATGCATACACACACCTATTTTTTAAAATGTTCAGAATGTTAATTAATAAAGTATAGTTAGTTTTCTGTAAAAGGAATAATATATGTGCTAATTAATAAATTGGTCAAGAATATTCGTAATAGTTCTTTAAAAATAAATATTTCTACTGTAAATTTTAAAAATCAAATAAATATCTGCGACGTTTATGATGCAATAAATATTTAAAAATCGGCTGACTGCAGTTTTAAATATAAAGTGTAAATGTAAACAAACTGACACTTAAACATTTGGAAAATTGCTCTAGGTCTCACTAAAATGTAATTTGTATCCATACATGCATACACACACCTATTTTTTAAAATGTTCAGAATGTTAATTAATAAAGTATAGTTAGTTTTCTGTAAAAGGAATAATATATGTGCTAATTAATAAATTGGTCAAGAATATTCGTAATAGTTCTTTAAAAATAAATATTTCTACTGTAAATTTTAAAAATCAAATAAATATCTGCGACGTTTATGATGCAATAAATATTTAAAAATCGGCTGACTGCAGTTTTAAATATAAAGTGTAAATGTAAACAAACTGACACTTAAACATTTGGAAAATTGCTCTAGGTCTCACTAAAATGTAATTTGTTGTGTTTATTTTTAATAAAATGTATACCATATATAAATTCTGATCTACTACATCAATTTTGTATTATTTCTTAATGTTTAATTTATGATTTATTATTTAATTTAATGTTTTTGATACTTCATTTTTGAAGACTTGGTAAACTTGTGTTTTGTCTAATTGGTAATGGCATTATATTTCTCCAAGCATGAACCTAAAATGGACAATAAAACAAGACATCATTTTCAGTCTTCGAAATTATTTTTCGGATTTAATAAACTTTAATGATGGATTTTATTTCTTCAGGATTTCGTATTAACTTTCGAAATTGGAGGAGAAGACGTATGACTACACATAAATTCAAGGATTCCATAGTCATCCGAATTCAACGCTAAATTTCTACTATCATATTCAAAATATTCTACAAAGTTAGATGAAATTAATAAACTATGGAACTGGTTATCATCAATTTTGAAAAATATCTTCAAATATTCGCTCCATATTGTAGAATTATTGAAGCCTAAGAATTTAAGTCGCATACTGAGCAAATATCAAGTTTGTTTTTCGTTTTGTATTATTATTATATAATCTCTATTATTTTGCATTCTGTTTATGTTTTTCTAAATTATTGAAATTGATTTAGAAATTGGAAAGAAAAAAAATATTTGGGATTTGTGTTCTGGTTTTTGTTTAAAATTTCTGAAATAGAAAATGAATTTATTTTTAATTTAATTGAATATATTTTTCAATTTATTTCATATATTTATAATATATAAAATATATATTTATAATATATATTTATAATATTTTTCAATATTCTAAAACCTATCTATTACGGTTATTAGTATCAGAATGAAATCTTTTTTTTTTCGACAAACCTAGGAAGAACAAGGCACATTGACATACATTTAATTGAAAAGTGATATTATTATCAAACTTTTGGTCATTATGTTTAACTTTTTACGTTTTTATTATTTGTATATAGTTTTATATTATATAAATAATCAATTGATGTATTCAATTTTCTAACAGAATAATACTGTTTTGATGATAGTGCGTTAAGATGCAAAGCCATTATGTAATAATTAAGAAATAAAATTTATTTTAATTATGAGAATGTTTAACATATGTATATGTTTTATATTCCTTTATATGTATATATTTCTATTGTTTTTGTTAAGATTTATTCCATGATCTGATAATTTATAATTGATGACAACAATTTGTAAAGTATTGTAAAAAATAACTATATAAAAAAATCTAATAACATGGAATGAATTTTGTATGTATATATAATGTACCTAGAAGAAGCACGATTAAATATTTGTCAACTGTACTAATTAATAATTTCTTTTTCTCAGCCAGGATTCAGCAATATTACGGCCAAGGAATCTCGAAGAAAGCAATTTATGTGAAGAGTTGCAGAGGATCACAATTGGCTCTTTATGAAAGTTATACTTTCCATAGACATAAAGTTTGTAAAGATATGATTTATTGGAGATGCAGCAAACAACTTGCCAAATGTTCTGCAATGATAAGAACAAATGGGTTCGATGTCCTAAGATTTACAGGAGTCCACGAACACCCGCCTCCTGTAAGGGACAAAGATTATTTTTTGACAGATTATTTTAGAGAGAAAAAATATTATTGGAATCCAAATTGCTAATTTATTTATAATATGATAATTTATTATGAAATTATAATTTATTTATTAAAGTGTTATCTATTCTAGGAGAAAAAATAGTTATTAAGAGTATCTAAGTAAGTAGGAATAATTTGATACCTATTCTATCGTGATGAATATTGTGCGTTGTATAACGAAATAAATTCGTTTTAATTATGACTATTTTTTATTTATCATAAGAGGAGTGGATGCATGTAACAAGGTTGCTTGTGATATTATGTTGATATTTTTTAAAAATATTTCAATATGTATATAGTATATCACCAATTGTGGCCATCTCTAAGGAACCAGATCAGAAGCTGTCATGTACGAAAAACGTATATTACTCCGAATAGGAGCAATTTGTATCAAAGTGCAGAATTTGACGTCTTATGCGAGAAATCGTATTAGGCATCGTTGTCCCAACAGGGTCCTTTTATATAGCTATATATGTATAAATTATTTATTGCATTTAACTCATCCTATTACTGACTAGAAAATTCTTTTTTCCAGCAGATTTCAATACTGGTGACTCTTATTTCAACAAAATTAATTATGTGAGAAGCGCAAGTGGAGCTCGTATCATCCTGCACGATTCTTACACATTTCATAAACTCAGATCATATAAAGATACAATTATTGGAGATGTAGTAAATATCATTCTACAAAATGCCTAGCTTTATTGAAAACCTGTGGAGACTCTATTATAAATATTTCTGGAGATCATCAGCATCAACAGCCCATTAATGGCAAAGAATACTACGTGGAGAATTTTGATTTGTGGAATGCTCAATAAGTGTTAATTTAAAGTTAAATTTGAATTTTGGATATATGGAATAAAATCTCATCAGAATACTGAAGAACTTCGAAACTGCTGATTTTTTATATTTTCATTAACTTTCGATATGCGAATGTTTTCTGCAGGAGTGTCGCTGTTGTACGGAACAGAGCAGGCACAACGATGTATCATTTCTAACATTATCAAGGAAATTAAAAATATATAAAAGTTATAAAATTAAATATATTAAAATTAAATAAATTAAAATTGCGCTTTAATAAACTAAAAGTTACAATGAAAATTAGAATGACCAATAGTTTAACTTGAAGTAAAGACCAACGCAGAACATGTCGTCTATGGACACATCTGTATTATGTGCTTTGCGTAAGAGTGTCGTTCATGGACGACGTGTTCTGTGTCGGTCTTTGCTTGTACGCATAGCACATAATGCAGATGCGTCCATGGACTACACTCGTAACAAATGAGATAATATGTAATAGTAATACGGGCATAAACATGTGGAGACTCTATTATAGACGTATTAGTGTGAATTTTTGAAGTCGAACTTAAACCTTGAATATATGAAATGAAAATACTCATAGTGATATATCGTGAAGCAAAGACCGACACAGAATATCTACGCGTCATGCGGATGTCGTCCATGGACGACACTCGTATCGAAAGAGTTAATATTAATATTTATACCAACACATACATGTGAGACTCCATTAGAGATATATTAGTGTGAATTTTTCAAATTGAACTTGAATCGTGAATATATAAAATGAAGACTCTATTAGTTTAAATCATAGTGATATATCTTGAAGCAAAGACCGACACAGAACATGTCGTCCATGGACGACACTCGTACACAGCACATAATGCGGATGCCGTCCATGGACGACCCTTGTAGCGAAAGGGTTTATATGTATATTTATACGAGCACAAACATGTGGAGTCTGCATTATAGACATATAATGTGAACTTTTCAAGTTGAACTTGAATTTTGAATATATGAAATGAAAATTTATCGGTGTGATTGCACGATTATAGATGGTAAGAAAACATCAGAATAATGTGAAGATATTTATTTTATATATATGTATACTACTACTGTTTGTACTGATACAGGATTAGATGATACTATATAAAATTTAGCTTTAATATAAAAAACGTACTTAACATATCTTCGAACATGTATTATTTATTATTGTCATAAGGAATTTTTGTATATAATATAACATCATTAATTTATTATAAATATCATAATCATTGTTAATCATCGTTGTTTAGTTAAATAATCATTATTCTATTAGCTAAATATTTTTATATTATTAATAAATTAAAGAAATTCTATAGTATATTTATATTTTGTAATCGTAATACTCAAAAAAGTAAAAAACATGATATAAAATCAGTTTTATTTATACTGAGATATAATTAAATTATTCTAGGTAACGGCTAAATTCCACAATCACAAAAATGCTTTATTTTATATCTATCTACTATGAAATAAACAATTATATGCAAAATGTTTTTATGAAAAAGTATGAGAAATAATAGCCTAAAATGAAATATTTTTTATTTGGTTTAATTTTTGGAGTCTGAACTGAAATTGGGAAATGATTTCTGGATTAGGTTATGAAGATTTTTTGAATTTATCAATTGTGTTAAGTAAATTTTATTTATACGATTATAATAATAATTGAGTTCAAATTTATTTCAAATCGCATATAGTTATTGAATATTCAGTTTCATAGTTAAGTTAACTTTGCAAAGTTACAAAGATATAATTAAATTATTTTATTTATATATATATGAAAAAGTATAGTTTCTATGTATTAGGTTGAAATATGTTATAGCAATAAATGATTTTTTTTGAAATGCTATTTTTGATACCAAGTAAATGCACTGTTCAACTATCATAATAATTATTATTCTGTTATATTAACCGAATTATTTTTTCTATTTTCAGCCCAAATGATTCAAGACTGGATAAAGAACAAACAGATCACACATCTTTCACAACCTGTGCGTTTTGTAAAAACTCGAAAGGACGACGTGTTATTTTGTATGAAGATTTCACTTTTCATAAACATACCCAATATAAAGAGAACACATATTGGAGATGTAGCAAAAAGAAATCGATGAATTGTCTTGTAATTTTGAAAACCCAAGGAGATCGTGTTATCAGCATTACGGGATTTCATGATCATCCACCTCCAGTTCCATTTTCAGAATATGTCGATAATGATACACAATTTGATTAGAAGAAAAAAATATATAATTATCTGATCAGGTTTTCCCTGGTTTCATTATTAAATGATGTCACAGATGAAGTATCGAAACATTAAATAAACAGAAAATATTATTCATTTTTTTGTTCCACGAATTGATGCTTTTATGTATATTGTCATTTTGGGTATATTATTTTAAAATAATTATTTTATAACATTTTTAAGAACACAATAGTTAATGGTTTTAAGTTGAATGGAAGTATGATTTTCAAAACATATATCTATTAAATTTTTAAATTAGCTTTCATTTATTGAAATGAAATGAGAAATGATGAGAAATTTGTATCTGATTTAATTATAATTATAATTATTATATATATTGTGTCTAATAATATTTGTATGAAATATGGTGAAAGTGACAAAAATAATGTATGATTCATGGACGAAATGTTGAATATTTTGTAAGATTTAAATTTTGATTATGATTCTGAAATTTGCCAAAATACACTATATCTTCTTTTATTTGGTATACCTACATAGTATATTATGACATGAATCATAAATAATTATGAATATGATGAATTTTGCCATTGTTTTTATGGCTTAATTTGTTATAAAATAAATATTTTTTAAGCGAAGTAACATTAATGTTAACAAGTGTTTCTAGTCCAAACAAAATACTTTAGACAGAGATTAATTTTAATGATAAATTTGCGATAATGCCATATATATCCCGATGCAAAGTAAATTGATTTTTTCAAAGGACTATTTTATATGTTATATACTATATAATAGCGAAATATGGAATGAATTCAAGTACAAGTTGATTGACACAAAATGGATATAAAAATGCGTTTGATTTATGAATAATAATTATAAGACAAAATAGATCTTTTAGTTTTATTTAATATTTAAGGTGCTCATCATATATATTTTTTATTTAAACTAAATATACTAATTATTGATTAATTTCCAATTATTTCTCTCTTCAGGTATTAATCGAGAAAATTGGAATATAGAAAGTATTTATTCCATGTCTTCAAATTTCCAATCAACATCAACATCGGATGTATCTGGAAATAAATATTTTACAAGAAACAGCCCTCAGAACATAAAAAATTGCCAATTAGCTACAATTGAAGAATTTGAGGAACGAATGTTAGATTCTACATACCCAAATAATGTGAGATATAAATATTTTTGATTGGATTCAATGATATTATTCCAAGTCTAAGATTTCTAAATGACCATTTTCAAATATTTCTTTAGGCAGAAGTTTTGCCCGAGAGTGATTATTTTCTCTCCCAGAAGACATAATTAATTTTATATTGAATCTCGATATAAAAAAAATCAAGATTGAAAACTATTGTCAAACAAATTTTGTTAAGAATTTATGGTGAAGAAATTATCAATAGATCCGCTCTGGGCAAAAGAAATGGTCGGCCTGGAATTGATGGAGAATTATTTACAGGATTATATGGTGAATCATAATTCAAACCATACAATTTTGTTTCATAAATTACACGAATATTTAATATATATATTTTTTTTAGGGTGGGTCAATCGTGTTAATCCAACATTTGTTACAAAACACACCTTTACAAGATTTATTAATCATATCGCTTCAAATAGGAGAAACTATGTTACAAAGAAGCTAAATAATATGAACAACAAATAGTTAAATAAAAATTTAATTAATATTTAAGGTGGTCCTTAATATGGATGTATTCAAATTCTTTTACTTCCAAAGGCTCAATGCTTCCAAATTGATAAAAAATAATTCTCTGAAAGTTTGGCTCTAATATTAACTTTAAGATAGTCCGCACTCCAGTCAAAGTTTCTATGGAAATAACATGGGTATAAATTTTCTTTG